TGCTCTTTTTTATCGGATCGAATTTCTTCTACTCTCTTTTCTTTTCTGATTGTAAATTCATTTGTATTGATACAATGCAGCTAATTCTTCTCTTTATTTTATGTTTTTTTATATTGACTATAAATGGAAACAAGGATACATGTCTTCATAATGAAACCAAAGGCAAACATTGTATATCAATTAGACGACGTTTTGGGCAACAATTGCTACGTCCATCGAAATTACAAAATAAAAAATGCCATGATTTATGCATTGAATCAGGTTATAAAAATGGAGGACATTGTTCGGTTTCAAATGATTGTTTTCGTTTTTGTTCTTGTCGTTCACAATCTTGAAGAAAAATGACGAAATATATTCTTGTTGAGATGATATGTTTCATTTTCTTTTTATTAATTATATAGATCGATTCTCATTTTTAAAAACTTTTGTAATCACATAGTTTTCCTAGTACCACTGGCTTTTTTTTTCCTAACTGTTATACAAGCTATTATTAATTTATTGAAAGAAAATAAATCCTAAAAGGATTGATCTTATTGTATTTAGCATCTCTCTTTCTTAATATGATAACTCTTAGTATATGTCGATGCTTTGTGAATTTATAGTTTGTACTGAAATAACCTTAAAAAAGAGACGATGTAGTAGATCAATTTTATGTTTCTGTATAGTCTGCATGTCAAAGTGATATAGTACATATATTCTATGAATGAAGAGATTGTATATTTGCATGTTGATATAACTCAAAATAAAATTGTTTTTTTTCTTAGCAACTGTTGCTAAATGCATCCATGTTGTTACTAGAGATGATAATAAAAATTTATTGTAAGACATGTCCAAATTTCGGAAGTTCTGAATTCTTCAGAATTTTAAGAATTCACATATTAGTCAAAAATAAATAGTTATCAACAACAGCGGAAAAAGAATCCTCAGAACGTAAAAAATTCGAAGAACTATAGAAAGCTGTGAATGATTTAAGGATCGGAATCTTCATTTTACTATCAGACACATCGATAGTTACAACAACCAACACAGTCACACGCTCATTCTGTACCGATACCAACACATCCACGTAATCTAGTCTGAGATATTGGTATTGTGATCCTAACATTGGACTATTTCGAAGACTTTGCCATTACATATACACAAGATACTTTAAAAATGAATATCTTTCTTTTCTCACAAAGCAATTTGCTCGATAGTTTTATTCAAATATCTTTTGTATGAGAAAAAAATCTGTAGTAAATTGTCTAATAGCGCCATCTTACAAATGAAAATGAGAGAATAAACTAAAAGACCTTATCAATTATTCAGTTTATTTTAATCAATAAAAATAAGTAATAGAAAAATTGAAAGAATTTTAATTTATTGATTTGTCTATGTAAATGATCCAAGGAAGAAACATACGTCAAGATAAATATGAGTCATGTTTTAATGTTTTCACCTGTCGTTCGTCGTCGTTAACTCGAGTCGATCATTTTGTCAATAAATCAAAAATAACAACAATGGTGGAGACCGATGATGGTCTTCATCGTGTTATTGAAATTTTATCTGAAACAGATCTTTCACCTTATTTATCACGAATTCGAGATGATCTTCAAGTAACAAAGTAAGATAATAATAAAAAAACGTTTTAAGATAATTTCTATACAAAAAAAAAATATTCTTTAAGACTTTCTCATTTTGAATATGTTCAAACAAATGATCTTGAACGAATTGGTTTAAGTAAACCAGCAATAAGACGATTATTTGCTGCTATTAAACGAAAACAACGATCCAATACAAAAAGAAATTCAAATACAGTTCGTTAAACAAAAAAGAATTCTTTAATATTTTAATTATCTTTTTTTTTTTTTTTTCTAATAGCCATTAGCATCTTCACCATCGACAACAACTTCATGTCTGATATCTCCTTCGTCTCTTCAATTAACAACAACATTAGGTTCTGGTCATTATGGTATAGTTCGTGAAGGTCTATGGAATGATCTTCCTGTTGCTGTTAAAATTCTTCATGGTTGTAATGCTGTTAGTGATTTTGTTCGTGAAGCGAATGCAATGCATACTGTATCACATCAATATTTAATTCGTCTTCATGGAATTGTTCTTTCTGAACCATTAATGATGGTAAGAAATTCAATTTTTAATTTCAAAAAAAAAAAAAAAAAAAAGAGATTAATAAAAATGTTCTTTGTTTTGTTTTTGTAAAGGTAACAGAATTAGCTCCACTTGGTTCATTATTATCTCGATTACGTAGTGAACCCAAACATTTTCTTGTATATATGCTTGTTGAATATACACGACAAATAAGTGAAGGAATGGATTATTTAGAACAAAGAAGATTTGTACATCGTGATCTTGCTGCAAGAAATATTTTACTTGCTTCTTATGAACAGGTCTTTTATCTTTGCATTTCATATATATTATTCTATTTTAAATAAAAAAAAACAAAAAACATAATTGTTTTAGATTAAAATTGGAGATTTTGGTTTAGCAAGAATGATGGATTCAGATTGTAATTTATACAAAACAGGAACAATTAAAAGCCAATCAATTCCAATTGCATGGTAAGATGATGTTTTTTTTTTTTTTTGTACTTTAAACAAGTGTAACTAATTGATCATCATTGGAATTAAATGAACTAATACCAGTATCAGATTCATCATTTGTTGATACTGACCATGGACTATAATGACGAATAGGAAAAGGTATAATTTGTACTCGATTTTTTGAAGGTTGATCGGAAAAAGATTTTGATTTAGTTCTTGATAGACTTGGTTCAACTATTGCTGTTGGACGAGATGTTACTAAAGTAAAAATATATATTGACATTTTTAACAAAGAAATAAATTGTTTAATTAGAATAATAAATTCTAGATATTTATCTACTAGGTACACTCTGTGCAGGAAAAAAAATATAATGGAATAGAATTAAAATATCTATCATTAATTCCCTATTTTATGTTTTTTTTACTATGAAATACATACTCTGAATAGAGCCTGTCGGTCTCATTGAAAGTATCAAAGTACGGTTCGAAAATTTTGGAACTGATGGTAGGGAGATGCGGGTCCATGTTTTTGTAGTCCTAGTCGGATTCAAATCTGAGGTTTTTTCCATGAGTATCTGATACCCTTCGTGTACATGAACAAGTGAAGGGTCAAGGTTTTCGCTACTCTCAGAAAGATCTTGTTGCTGTATTTCTCATTTTGGAAGTAGCGGGTCCAACAAAAAATAAAAAGTTGGACTAAGACCCGGCCGAGTTTGAAAGAACCCATAGCTTTCTACCTGACGGGTTCTAACTCAGTGAAATATAATCAAGATCTTTTTATTGATATGATGATATATTATTTTAATACCTGTTTGTGTTTTGTGAGGAAAAATAGGTGGTGGTGATGGTGAAATATCTTTAGTACTAACACGTTCTTGTTTAAATAAAAATGTTGATTGATCTTGATCATCATCTTCAAGACTATCAATATCAATATTTTGATCAAGTGCATAATCTAATTCTAATTCATCTAATAAATATTGTTTTCGATCAATTTCTTCATTTGTTTTATTTATTTGTTGATCAAGTTCATCTGATTGTTCAGTTAATTTACGACTTATAATTAATGTTTGATTAACATCAGATAAAATTTTTTTAAAATTATCTTGATTAAAATCAATTCGAATTTCATTTTCAATATCAGATATTAAACATGATATTAATTTTTGTTGATATTCAAGTTGTGTTTGAGTATTAATTATTGAACGATAAAGATTTAAATATGATAACATTGATTGATTATTATCATTTTGAACATTTGTAAATTTTTCTATTTGTTTATCTGTTCGTTTCAGTTGACGTTTTAATTTTTCTAATTTTTTATCTTGTTTTCGAATAAGAAAATGTGTTGATGTTGGATTTTGTTTATGTGTTCGAAGTGTTAATGTTACATTTTGAGATTCTCCAGCCCATGAATTCCATAATTTTAAAAGACGACAACGAGGTTTTAATGGTCTTTCAACACCACACCATGATTCATAAAGTATATAATCTTCATTTGATTGACAAATATGATTTTCATCTGATGATAATATTGCTTGAATTACATCAAAACAAGTTGAACGTGTTGTTAAATTTGATATCCATTTCATTTTTCCATTATACCATATAGGAATTTCAACTTCTAAATCCATTTTTCTAAAATGAATAATTTTATCATAGATTAATATTCATGTATGTAAGTTGAATAAATGCTCAAAGAAAAAAAAGAAGAAGAAGATAACCTTCAAAAGAACGATATTCTCTTGTTTGGTTGTCAAGCAACTACTATTGCAAGTTGGATAAAAAAAAAAAAAAAAAAAAAAAAGAATACGATAAACGAATGGAGTCAATATAGAACAGTACAAATAGTGTGTTCTCTTGCAATGCATTCTTTTTTTTTTTTTTTCGTTCATTCCTTCTCATATTTCTCATTTGTTTCATAAGAGAGAAGAGGGCATGTCAAATGTGAGAAGAATGAAAATTGTTCAATATGTTCATGCTCATGTTTAATTAGACACACATTGGTTTACTTCATTTTTCTCTTTCTTAATAAAAAAAATCTTTTTATTTCGATGATAGTGAATACTTAAGAATGCCATGTTTAAATTCATTTCTTTTCAAGAAAAAAAACAAAATCAATATTAGATAATCTTCCTTAATCAATAACTCGATTTTTTATTCAAGTTTGTTGTCATTAGAAAAAAAACATCCCTTTTTCTTTTTTTAATGAAATAATTTACCTTAATCTCTGACGTCGTATTTCTTTCATCGTAACTTTATATTTTTTTTTTTTTTTATCGAAAGTAAAATTGTATTTATTAAAAAAGAAAAAAAAAAGAAGAAGAAATTTGAAGTAGTTTTCAATTACTTACTTAAATATTGTTATAAGAGAAAGAAAATTCTAATTGATCAATACTTATTTTTTTGTTATTTTTACAACCTATTTCACCTTCACAATGAATGAAATTGTAAAATTACCGGTGCAAATGATTATCTCAATAGAAAATTTTTTTATACATAATAAACAAAGAAAAAAAAAATCAATGAAAAATAAATGTACGTCATGTGATAAATAAATGTAGGCGGGATAAGATTATCATTGATTAAACAAGACATGTACCTGTCTTGTCTCTCTCTCTCTGTCTATTGAGTAGAAAGGAAAAAAGTGACGATCGTTTCTCACTTATTATATAAGATAGACTTCATAACATGTTCTTTTTCTCTCCTGCAATCATAGATAAATGTCATTTCCTGTCTTATAGAGCAAATATAAATGCATCTAAACTCCATGCTAATGTTTACATTGACACATAGAGTCTTTATTTATTCTGGAAGGAATAACTCGTTCTTTTTTTTTTTTTTTATCATAATTACTGTCAAGTTATACATGTATTATGTTCAATTTAAAACATATGTTTCAAAAAAATAAAAGATGAAAGATTCATACATACGTGATTCCGACAAAACATGAACTATTTTTTAACTTATTGTGCCGACGTGATCGAATGATGTCATTAAGAACATAGAACAACTTAACAATAATATGAGAAAAATGTCTTGTTTATTTTGTCTACATTTAGTAATAGAAGCCTCTGTAGAGATGATGATTGATGAAAAGAGTACCCAATAGGTTAGAAGTCAAATGTTGAATACAACTGCTCATCTATATAGTAAATCCAAACAAATGAAGCGATACTCATTAGTTTTGGCGAGACAAACATACAAAGAAAGAGCATTAATACTCGAAGGGAAACAGAACAAATTTAGCGGAATGATTATCAATTAAATGCCCTATAGATATATAATTGATATATTTTATCTGTTTATTTTATTTCAATGATTAATATATAGGTGTGCACCAGAAAGTCTTCGTCGACAAGAATTTTCATCATCAACTGATGTTTGGATGTTTGCTGTTACTGTTTGGGAAATATTTACTTTGGGTATTGAAAATCCTTGGCCTGGTCTTTCTGTACAACAGGTATAATAGATAAATACTATTCTTTTCTGTTTTGTTTTTTTTTGTTCTCAATTTCAAAATATAATTATTTTATTAAAGATTTTAAAAGCAGTAGAAGAACGTGGTGAACATCTTCAATGTCCTGAAATTTGTCCACCATCAATCTATTCTCTATTATTATTATGTTGGTCATTAAATCCAAACGATCGACCAAAATTTAGTAAAGTAAATTCTTGTTTAAATCAATGTCGTCCAATACAATATCGAGTTACACGTGATAGTAAACAAATAAATCAATTAACATTATTACGCGGTGATACTGTTAGTGTTTTTGATTCATATGTTGATAAACCATTATGGAAAGGACAAAATCATCGAACACAAAAAGTTGGTTTTTTTCCAAGAATTTGTCTTTCATCAACAACAACAAATACAAATGAAAAAATAAGTTGGCCAGTCAAAGGAAGTTTTATTCATGCCGGTCATAGTGATGGAACAGGACAAGGACCTTCATGGGGAAAAATTGATAAAATTGACGAGTATTTTATTATTGACATTTTTTTTTCCCATTAATATTTCGATAATTTTATTTTAGAACTATTTTAAGTAATCCAATAATTACACCAGTTGATGCGAATGAAAGAGATGAAAATGTACAAAGTAAGTTATATTTCTGTCCAAAAAAATAATAATAATGAGGATGATCTTTCTTTTTCTAATTACTTAAGAACGAAATGATCTATCGATTCACTAACGAAAGATAGAAAACATAAATTTTTCAGTTAGTATTTGTATTCAAACTTTGAATAGTTTAATTTAAGTTTATTCAATTAATAATAATTCCAGATTTCAACTAAAATTCTTAGCATGTTGTTTTCGTTATATTACAAAAATACTCTTAGCATCATTTTAGTATATCAAATTGAGATTCTGAAGAGTTATTATTACAAAGTAGACGTCTGTTGATAACATGCTTTACTACATATATATTTGTAATTCATCCTTTAAGAGAAAAGGATAAGCACAGATTTCAAGGAAAATGACACTATTCACGAAACATAAATACTAAGAAAATTGATCATTTACTATGAAATTATTCATAGTTTAATTATTAACATTACATGAAAAACTTAATATCTTCTATCTTTCATTATTGGATTGCTAAGGTACACCATGATAAAAATCATTCGTCTTTAGCATTTTTCTTTTTCCTTGAATTATTATCAATATGATTATCATGACTATATATTCATATAGATAATAATCATTTGTTTTTTGAAATTTTAGTTGTATCAAATGTTCTTCAATTAAATGTATCAAAGAAAGAAAAACCATTAATAACTCGACCACCACCACCCGTTCCAAAAAGTCCACCCATTCCAAAAAGTCAACCCATTCCAAAAAGTCCACCTATTCCAAAAAGTCCACCAAAAATCATAAATGATTTACTTTCAATTGATTTTAGCAATTCATCTTCTGGAAAATCTTCAAATAAAATTGAACAAAATCATACTTTCGAACAATCATCAATAAAATATTCATCACCAATAAATGAAAGTTCTCGTTCATCATCAGCATCATCATCATCATATAATCGACAAAAATTTGCAAATAATTTAATTGATTCACATAAATTTGTTGAAAAAGTAATAACAGGTGTTACTGAACAATTAAAGAATGATTTTCCACGATTAAATTCAACAAAAAAAGAATTTACTCCGCCTGTTGTTCGAAGATTTACTGTAGCTTATCCATCAAATCAATCGTCATATTATAACCTTCAACGCCAAGAATAATCTAGTCATATACAAAAAAAAAAAAAAAAAAAAAAAATACCAGATCATTTTTTCTTGTTTTTTTTTTCAAGTGGTGCTTTTTCTATGATATACAATGAAATGTTTATTTATTTCGAGAATGAAAAAAAACGAATCATGTCTTCAATTTTCTATTTATAATCGATTTTTATTGAAAAAAAAAAACCAAACGAGAAAATTTATGTCACTAATTTCGAAAACTAATCATTGATTGTAGATACGTTCATTTTTCTTTTGTTTTGTACTAATAAAACCTTCGCCTTCAGAATTTTTGCTCGATTTTATAGATATAATAATACAGAATGATATTTTATTTACGACTTGGACTGGATTAAGCTAATGAGGAAATCATCTGAAGTGATTCATCAAGTTTGAGTACATATTTTGAACATATAGATAAGACTTCTACATTAGAATAATTCAAAAATGATTCAACCTAAGAAGTCTTTTGAATAACTCAAAAAGAAAGGAATCGTTGTTATTGATATTCTTAGAATTATGAAATCTATTTATAGATAGACAAAAATTTTTTGAAGATTTCTGTCAACTTCTATTCGAAAAAAAAACCGAAAATCCTTTTCGTTTTTTCTTGTCTTATAAGTTTTCAATCGCATCTCTAAGAATTTTCGAAGGAGCTTCTTTGTAGCCAATAACTTTTTCTTTTGTTTGAAAGAGCGTATAAAACTGCAGTACCTATGAGAGCGTATTTTTTTGAATAAACTTTGCTTTTATTATATATATATATAAATATTTATATAATTAGAGCACCATTTTTAGAGAGCTTCTTTAAATCATTGAACTCTCGATTCCTTTTTTTCTCTTAAAAAGTAAGAGTTTAAAAAAAAAAAGGCTCTTCATAGGCACTACATTCTGACATGCTCTTTCCAACAAAAAAAATATTAAAAGTATAAAATGAAAACCACAAAGAATTTTTTGGAGGCGAAATGAGTTAGTTTTTGACCCTTGTTTGGCCAATATCTCTCTCAAACATTATGGTAAAGGGCTGAACATTTTACCATAGCCTTCCTACTACAGCTCCAACATATCCTGAAAATTTCATACTATTTGAACGTTCTTAGCCTGAGGTCGATTCTTGAGGTGTGGTCTTATTATCCCGCCCGATAGTAGAAATTCAGTATACTTCTAAATCTGTAGAGAAGATTTAAGAACTTGAATTCTTTTAGAATTATTCCAGCGTAGATGTCTTCACTGTATACCCAAAATATGAATTCAAAAGTAACCAGTCACTTCAGATGGTTTTCTCATAAGATTACCTGATACGATTTTGTTTTTTAAGCTCATCACATGTTTAGCTAACGATCTAATTTGACTAATGTCGAAAAAAAAATAAGCTGCTCTTGGTTCTGAAACATCCTTCCGTAATCTCAAAACAAACATTATATTTTCTTAAAGAATGATCATTTACACAAGGCTAAGCTTTCTAATAGTGCTTCTAATTTTACGAAATCATGATTGATATTCTGTAATAGACTTGACTGCAACACATTAATTTAACACAATTTGAAGAAAAAAGCAAGAGAAAGAACATATTTCAATTAGTCCTTTTTGATAACATTTCTTAGTTTTTGTTTTTTTTTTGTGTTTAGTGACATATAACTAAATAAAGGAAAAATTATTCTTAATCACACATGTTATTAAATTCATTGATAACATTCTGATTTCAATGATTCATGCATATACATCTATATAAAAAATGAAAACTAATAGTTAGTTGCAAGGTCAAACATTCTGTTTATGTAAACATTAGATTAAGATCAAGAAAAGAATTGATATTAATATAAACTATGTCTTTTTTTTCCTTTACAATATGTTTTTGAATAGCTTTCAACCAAGCTTCTTTCGATTTAGTATATTTGTTCAAATCTTCTTTTAACACTGATCAAATTTTTGTTTTTAAGTATTTACAAAGTCATATTATGACATTCATTTTACTGTTTTCATCTGTTCGGCAATCGTTTTGCTTGAATAGACGATTTATTAGTGTTACTATTCCAGACAATGAGATACTTATCTTTGAGTTATCACAAGCAATGAAATATCCTAATGTCACATTTATTGTTCAATAATGAATTTATTTGTAAACAATAAAATCTCTACATTGTGAACAACATTGGGGATTGACGAAAATCGTTTAGTACAACAGAGTGTTTATAAAAAAAAAAAAAAAGAAGTCAAATAAATATTAATCAAAATATCAGTTTTATCTATTTCTGTTTAACCCTTTGGGGACGGTTGGCCCCTTCAGGGGCCATGGTGATTCTCTAGCATTTCAAAACACACAGATTCCTATATGAGATTAGTTTTTATGAAAGCATTTATCAGAGAGTTTTTTGGTATAATTTGGATTGTAATTAGGTTATTTTATTCAGATATCCAGTAATGGATGATAGGTTCTTTTAGAAAATAGAAATATTGATTGATTTATGATGAAATGTACAGAAAAAAAAATCCGTCTCCAAAGGGTTAAGTACTTTTTATTATTTTGTTACATAGCTTTTAATTTTTTAACTAAAATTATGATTCACCTTGGAGTTTAATATTTTGTTTTATTTCAGAATCAGTAATATATATATTCATTTTTTCTTTTAAAAATATTTGATACATCAATGATAGGCACTTGAAATTTATCTCTTTATTCACAATGAACTAAACAATGTTTCTTATCTTTGATTAAACTCTCTAACTCAAGAACATTGCTTGTTACTATATCTGATAGATAAAGATTGAGAAGTTATTCAAAAAGACAACGATATTTGTTTGTCCATTCTTTTTTTTTCTTTTTGCTTTCATTGAATTAAATTATAGAGTCAATTAATTTCTTAAACATATAGACAGGGTCAAAAAAACAATCGGTGTTCACATTCACAATCAAGAGTTATTCACTGAGAGAGAAAGAAGATTTACTGTATTCATTTTAAATCATATTTTTCATCTTTATGTCATGTAATAAATGATAATGATTCGTCGGATACATTGCTTGCAGAATAGAACTATGAACAAGAATTTTTTTTTTGCTAGAAATTTCTTGTTCTTATATTACTGTATATAACATCAATAGAATGTCATATGAGTTTCTTTCTTTTAAACAAAAACCCTAGATATCTTGATAAGCGAATGGTTTGTGTCGTAATTGTATGAAATCCAGTGGACAATGATATATCTGTTTTATGTAAGGGAAATAAAGATATTATATTTGTTATAGATACTAATGATATTGCATTCTATTTTTGATTTCAACATAGATAATGTCTTTTTTGTTATTATTAGTAAAAAAGATTTAATCTGGTTAGGGAAATCGCATTAACAACGTAACTGTTTTTACAAATCGTCCTAGAGAAAAGAAAAACAATACTTAAAACTTGCGTTAATGTTATATGTATGTGTGTGTGTACACAAAATACTAGTTAATTCTTTTTTCACAACTAATCGTATAGATTGGATAAAAATAAAAAACAATTTCATTCAATTTTTATAGATTATATTATTTGATATAATATTATAAACGAATGTATCATTTTACTAAACATCTTGTCATATTTCTATTTCAAATAAATGATACCTCAATATTACTGATATTTCATAGCCAGGGATATAGAGTTTTATGTGGTGCACACCCCCTTTCTTCCGCTTTTAGAAAAATTTCAGTTTTTTTTTTTGCTAGTCAAAATCGTATTAGTGGAAATCCCTTTCTCACTTCTTCCTGTCTTGAAATATGATGAATTGATAAATATTCTAAAGATAATAGAAGAATCCAATTAAAAACAAAAACAGATCGACCAATCAAACCGGTAAATTACGAGATAATTCAGTCGTTGTGATATGCACTTATCTTTAGAATCATTTTCTCTAAATGTATTCAATTCATGTCTTTTATTGATGCAATGACAATCAAAATCTTAACATTAGATAATCATTGTTTGTACTAACTTCTAGGTAGCGATCGTTAATAAACCCCTAATTATATTTTTATCAATGTATATATATTTGTATTATGTAATAATTTAGCATATGAATTATTAACATTATGAATAGATAAAAAAAAGAGCGAAAAGCAACTAAAGTCATGTGATTTGAAATAAAATACGTAAATGTTTTGAAATGTTCTGTAAAAGAAATCAAATTCTGTATCGATCTACATAATCATTTCAATTTTTTTGCATTGTTTCAAAAGCATGCTATTCTTCTGTCACCTTTGACATTATTTTTAATATAATTTTATCTTGTTTACTGTATTTAAATACAATATGAACTGTTTTTTTGTTCTACCATCAATTTTGAGATTATTTTTATCAGTTAATAATATTGGTAATTCGTATTAACTTGAACATTGAAACTTTTTGTCTATATATCTGAATAAAAATATTTTTCCTTGATTTTCTCAGAACTTCTACAAAAACGTCTTTTTTTTTTTCATTTAACCTTATCTATTTTTCTCAAAACAAAAAAACATTTTAATTTACTGAAACATCTAAATCTTTTTTGTATTAATATATAATTGAATCAAGTCTTTATTCTTCTATTCATTGATATAACTTTCGTCTAGTTTACTTCAGACATTACATGTAAATATTTGTCAAAAAAACACAACAAACTTAATTTTTTTTCATAAAATCCAAAAATTACTCGAGATATCAACAGTAAAATTCAATCCTTTCTTATAATTTAAATCAATTTGGTTTTATAATTTGTGTATGAATACATTTGATAGATCTCTTCTATATAAATTAAGTTCGCGATTAATCAAATTTCGATCTTAGTGAAATATGAACGTGTAAAAATTTGAATCCATTATTTGTCGAAATTTTGTCAAAATATATCAATAAATGAAAATGAAACCTATATGAATAGTTTATCTAATCATATTAGAAATAAGAACCATTAGAAATTCTATATATATACAAAAAACATAGAGAAATACTGACAAAAATAACTCAATCAAGCAGTATGCGCTTGAATTATTG